TTCTTTTCTTTTCCGTTGAGAGTTTCGTGTTCTGAGTTAAGTTTTGCCGCAACTCCGTGTCTCCGAGTTCACCTCAAGTCTGTGACCGCTTCAAAACTTCAACCAGCCCACAACTCCGCATCTTCAGCCAATGCCCAACCCCTGGCTTCCCAAGACGTCACTTCTATGACTACTGAACTTCCATCCAATCAGCGACCTCGGGAAACCCCTTTCGGCAACCAGACAAGGAAGGGAACCCCTTACACAGGCAACGCAAGTACCTCCAACGACTCAATTATCAGCCGTAAAACAGTGATTCTGTCCAAATTCCCTATAAAACCTTAAATGATTCCCTTTGAGCTAAATTGACCTGTTTCCCTTACATAATCGACCAGTATGGTCTTTCTGATCAAGCTGGTAAAGTTAGTCAAGCAGCGCCTCATTCAAAAAAACATGATTTTGACCAGCTATACTGTAAATTAAGTAAATGCAGAAGTTAAATACTTTCTTGTTGATTTTTGGTTTTACTTAATATTCTAAAGTATCTGTTATGACAAATATATAGTCTTTTTTATACTACAATTTACAATTATCAGATGTTCTTTAATAGAATCATAAAGTATTAAATGCAATAAAATGTCAATGCATGACAATGGAAATGTCCATAATATTTTTATTTAGTTTTAATCTGACAGAAGTCCAGTATGTTTTTTTTTCAGCATACAAACAGCTACAATGTCCATAATTGTGTGCATTCTTATTATCAAATGCATTTTAGATAGCTTGTGATACTTATTGCAGCATGTTGACGTAATTCAATACAACCTGCAATTAAATCCTCAGATTGGCTTGCATTGCAGCACGTCTAGTTTTCCAAGTAGATTTAATTGTTATCTGCCATTGTTTTGACTCCATACGCAATTATGAAAGATAAGAAAACTGAGCACAGCTACTTAATAACATCTAATTAGTTTATCAGTGTTGAAACGGTTCTGTAAATGCCTTTTAGCAAGAAATAAGGTCTTGTGAGTAAACAAACTGCAGGGGGAGTGCAATAAATATCAATAAAAATATTTCTTCAGTCACAGGAGCATTGTGTTAAATGTCCTAGGTGCTTAACTCTAATAAATAGAACAGAAGCGATTCAGGCTTTTGATTTGTGAAAGCCGGTTTATGTTTTATTTACTTGGATGAGTCTTTATGAATGCTTCATGAATGTGAATGCAGGGATTTGCTTTTAGGCTCTATGAGAAGCTGTGTAAAGAGATTAACTGAAAAAATTAGATACTGGCAAAAATAAATAAACGTGACTGAAAATAAGACTAAGAGTGTAAGATTACATGTGGGTGAACCTCACAAAGCCTGTCAAAAACATGTCTAGGTTGTGTTTGACAACAAAATCAAAAGAAAAAAAAAAGAATTTGAAATTATATTTTGTATAATGTCTAATTTTATATAAAGCCAATTATATATATTGCCTATTTTTATAGGGGCTTCTTTTTGGTGTTGTGACATTATTTATAGGACAAATCAGCACATCTCCATATCTAATTATTATTATTAGCGTGATTTTTGTTTTAAAGTAAACAATGTATTTATATTGTGTATTTATTGCACTGCCTGTAAATGATACTGATTATGATTTTTAAAATATGATATTTATTTGTTACTGTAAATATCACAGTATTATATGTATGTGTGTGTTTATTTGATCATTTATATTCAATTAATTATTTAATAGTTTATTTTTTGTTACTATCTCCAGACAACATTAACAATTCAAGTATCAGACTTAATTTGCATTAAAATAAAGCCACATTGTCTAAAACTCTAAATGGTAGTAAAATAGACTGTATTTTATGATTTTGAATATGATTCTGACTTTTTTTTTTATGAAATTCACCCATATATGTGTGCTCACCCTACCTGGAAACTATACAGGACTGCGATGTTGATCTCCACCAGTGCCTGGTCCTTCCACAGGGATGAAGTCTTCCTCGTGTCCAGCCCCATCATTGTAGCTACTTCCTGAAATGAAGGGAATTAATCATACTGTACAGAGAGACTATTCATACTGTATTCTCTCTGGATCTGAACCAAGGTTAATAGAACTGCCACTTGTGATCTGCCTCTATAGAGATCTGGAACGACCGACAAGACTATCTAAAAATACACTTCTAGTCAAAAGTTTGGACACACCTGACATGAATATGTGTTTCTCATGATCTTAAAAACCTTTTGATCTGAAGGCTGATTCTTAAAAGTGTTTAAATTAGTTTTGCAGATATATAAAATCAGATGGGTTTGGAATAACATGAAGATGGGTGAATTATTTTATAGATGATTTTCTATATTTTATAGAAGATTAGGATATATTTCAGTATATATTTTATATGTGGTAAAGCAAGCTGAGTATATATAGGCCAACTGGGCTGTTAGTGGCTCAATGTCTTTTAGAAGTTAAAACTGTAAGTGAATTTATTTCAGAGTATAAAGGAAATGTGGAAGAGCGATTGTAACACTGAATGAGTATAAAACTATAATGATAATTAAAAACAGCATGTTTATGAATTAAAATCTGCATAAATTAAAGCGAGCAATTTAAAACAGGATAAACAATGCATAATATACCGTATAATCAACTTAATCCATTGCAATGGCTCATTAAACACAAACGTGTCATTACTAATTTCCTGTTGGGGTGCAATGTCTAATGCATATGCATAACATTTATAATGATCAAATGTAATGCAGTCTGGTTTCAAACTGTGTAATGCAGTGTAAAAAGTAACATGAGATATTCTCAATGGTGCAGGGGTGATTTATGGCTGTCTGGTACAGTATGGTACCTCAAGTATGTTGTATCGAGAGCTGTCGCAGAAGTCTCTGACACCGATCTCGGTCCCCATGTACCAGCCGCTAAAGGGGCAGGCGGTGAACTCCAGTCCCCCGATCTCTAACAGCATGTTAGACACGGCAGGAAGGCCGTACCACTTTAGATTCATTTCCTTAAACCATTCGAACCTAGACAGACACAGACAGGAGGACGGTCAATATTGAACCCAGCTCAGGGAGAAAAGTTGCATGCAGAAATGTTTTTCAGTGAAATGTTCTTGAGCTTATTTGCATAACATAATGTAGTCAGTAGAATATCTTGGCATATGCAGATGTACACCATTAAGCTTTTAGAGTATTCCGTTTACAGTTTCCATCATAATTTCTCTGTAAGTAAATGCGCACATAGTGAGCACTGAATTCAAGGTTTACTCTAAAATCCTCAAGAACGCCCTGATCTGATTTCTTGAATAAGAATAGCACCACAGTCACTTTCATTTACGCTTAAAAAATTTTTTCTTTTTGCACATGGGAGGTGTATGAGCAAAATGTTCTGTTTTACTTTACCCAATTGCAAGAACATAGAGCTGAAAATTATTTTATTTATATAATTTATTAATTTAATTCAATTTAATTGCATTTGTCCACTTTTACTCTTTGATGAGAAGTTTAACTTTATCTGCATGACATTTGAGTTCTGAAACAGGAAGTCAGTAGCCATCAATGCTTAATTTAATGGTAACTCAGGCTAAATTATTTTTTCAACACTTATCAATTAAAAAAAAAAAGATATAAATGCATGATTGAGGGGGACAATTCAGTCTTATCTAGATCTCAGGACCCAAGTAACTGATCATCTGAGACACATCGGTGTCAAACAGACAGAATTAAACAAGCAAACTGAGGCAGGATCTGGAAAAAGGACAAGTTTTATGCCAAATTAGCCCACGTTCCTGAATGTACGTGCATAAGAGGCAAGCTCTCAGCTTGAGTTCTCTGTTGCTATGCATCCTGAAGCTCTGCACATTACAGCCTCTCTGATATGAGATTTCCCTTCGGTATGTACTGTATGACGCAGACTATTATCAGATTCTGGGTGGATGAACATTTGAGGTGTAAAATGTTTTAAGCACTGATGTGATTCTGTGGTGTTTCTACACAAGTTTGACAAGCATCAAACCGTCTGAACCCCAATAAAACTCTACAATATGCTTGGTTCTTCTTACTTTGGATGTATAATGGGAACCTCAAGTACAAGATCATCAGGAATCTCAAAAAGCTCCGGATCGTTCCCATTGGCTTGGAGAAGAAGGGGCAAAACGTCAAAACAGCTTTTTGGAGCTTTCCATCCTTGCTGTATACAGATCTACAAGTCAAAAACAAACATTACAGATGTTTTTTTGGAATATGTTGGTTGGTCACAAAGCTAATGACCATCGTGGACCTGCTGACAACTTCTTTAGCTCAGCTAGAAACCAGCTACCATGTTCCAAAACACAGACACCAGCTTAAACTGGATTTTGCATTGCCCTAAAACAACTCGAACACAATTAACAATGTTAAATTAAACAAACATCAACCCAGCGATAACAAGAAATGCCCATGATGTCACAAAAGGTTTATTCTTGTGTGTACTGGTAACATGCTTCATTCAATATGTCAGTTGGAGCCTTTTTTGATGCCTGTGACTGACAATCGAAGCTATTGCAATATAGCTTCCCACCTCACCTCTGTAAGCTCCACCGAAGCCGGATCTCCGAGAATTGATCCATCAGGCTGCTTGTAGCCTGCGTACCGGATCAACTGGCTGTTCCACACCCGGAAGTCATGCTTCCCGTCTGTCCTCTGGGGGAAGATGGTAATAGCCGATCTGCACATCAGAGACAAGGGGTAATGCTGAGATCCCTCTGGTGGATTTATACTTCAAATCATCCAATACAGTAAGTATTACAGACTCCATGAAATCAAAATTGTGTGATTTAATCCCACAGCCAAGATTTGCTGCATTTACTGTAAGTGCATGTACTGTTTTTAAGCGAATAAAGTTGGATTTACTTATATATCCAACTCAACATATAGACACATGTAATTATATAGCTTATATTTTGCAAAAATATATAAACAATTATGCATTTACAGTAAGTGCGTGTAAACTTGGATGTACTATATATCATCTATATAGCGCTGTCAGTTTCGAGGTCATGCAAATGCACTTCACAATAAACTTTTAAAAGATATATACATTTAAAATGTACAATAATTCACTTCTGGAAAATATATATTGATAATTAAGTTTGTTGGTTGGTCAAAATTGTTTGTTCAGTGCAATACAGATATTAAAGAACTGGTTTAACCAGTGTTTTATTTTTTTTTTAAAGCAGAGTCATGCTAATTATATAGCATTACAATCCTAATATTGGTAATTATATAGTACAGTTTTTGTCATTTATTGTGCTTTTGAAATAAAACTTCCCCATCTGTTCCATAAGCAAACATAATCATGCTTCATTGCTGAAAATACATCACACTGACGTTCAACAGCTAAGAGCACAAAGTGTCAGTCCAACTAATCTAAATAACAAGTCCCGTCACTCTCGAAATACAACTCTGGATGAAATTTGGGTCACCAGCCTGTTTGAAAAAGCGCTGAGGAGCTTTTCTTGTTGCCTTGATTTGTTTATGTGTGGAAAAAGAGTGTAGGAGACCTCTGACGTTTATTCTGGCAGGTCCTGATGATGTAAGAAGCAAGCGTGGGGGCTTTTGACTATATAAAAGCGTTTCCTCTCTTCTTGTTTTAATTTTCCCTTTCCTCACCCCTCTCTCACTCTCTCAGGCTCTAATCATTCTGTTAGACGGATGCTAATTAAACAGAACAGAGAGTAAGTGTCATGTATGATTAGCTTCGTAACGTGGCAGTGGTGCCAGTGCTCGGCAATGCTGTGGCAGGTGCTGTACTGTGGGCTGTGGAACAAGGTGACAAAGAGAGAATGGGAACACTCACTTTGACAGGGAAGAAGGCAAGTCGCAAGGAAAAGGAGATGCAGAAAAAGACAGGAAGTAAAAGGAGTTAGTGAAAAATGGCCTCACTAACCTGAGGTTTCCTTTGTTGGTTGCATATTTGATGTGGTTACAGATGTAATTAAACATTCCATGAGCGGTTGTGCAGTCTCGAGCATCGAACACCTCAAAGGAGAGAAATTCACTTTTTAGGACACATTCTTTTTTCATTCTCGCTGCATTTCAATATGCACCACATTGTTGTACCCTTGAAAAGATTAAGGGAATGGTTTGATGAAGGAATGCTTTTTGGAAGAACAATCCCGCATGACAAAAAAAAACAAAAAACAAAGCAAAACAATACCTGTAGTTTGGACCACTGAATCCGTCCCACACAGCGAGCTGCATTTCTCCATGCATGTTTGGCCCCGTAAATCAGCTCTGTGTCCTTCAGTTGATATGTTCCAGAAGTTTCTATTTCTTTTTTAACCTCTTCTAGCCGGTCAACATGGGCCTTTGAGCCGCATCTGTTCAGGCAGAAGTCAAACATATAAAAGGCACATTTAGAAAAAAATTACTGCAATTAGAAGGGTAAGTTATGTACTGCAACATACATGCATACATAGATAAATAAATCTTTTTTTTTTGTCTTGAAAAAAGAAATGCATAAATTAATTTTAGATATTTGTTTTTTGGAAAATATATAATGCATATTAAATTATGTGTACTTCCTTTATTCGAATGGCTAGTTTTAAAGCCAAAATCTAGGGTTAAGAAAAAATGGCAATGGTGTAAGAACGATAAATTAACTCAAAATATATTCTTTGGAAAAAAAAAGAATCTTATTAAAAAATGTGTAAAAAGTCATTTTGAATCTAAAAAGTCATCTTTGTGACAGTTTTGCTTCTAAAATAAATGATGTATTATTGTTTTTAAATATAACATCTAAATATATATCCATCTTTCTGTAGTTCAAAAAATACAACTATATAAAATATATCGTTTTATTCTGATCTATTATACTGTATATATTTTTTGCAGTGATGAAAGATGTTTAATATGGTACAGTGTGCATTAGATTTAAGTTGTTCTCCTGCCTTTTGATTGATGTGTAGTACTGGTCGATAAAATCTGTTGCAAGCGGTAGCAGTTCCTCTTTTCTTCGGACTTCATCTGGTTTGCGACTGTGCTGGTTTGGCACCATAACAGAGCCTATACAAACACTCTCAGTGCAGATCGGCACCTGCAAACGAAAAGCAACTAGCACAATAAGAAGACTGAGTGTGCAAATCCAAACATGCTACATCACTCACGGAAATGTGCTACAGAAAGCATTGTGCCCGTCTTACACATATTGTGTCCGTAGGAGTGTAACTGCAACAGCAGGCACAAGTTGTGACAGCATTTCTGCTGTGTAACAGTACTGGAGGTCTATACAGAAAATAAAGTGATGTCTGGGTGAGCACACTAAGTACTTCCTTTAATTACCGCCATAATTATAAAATGTCATGAAATTTCAGGGGCAGCAAATTTACATCCAAATAGTATTTTTAGTGCTTTTTTCTAACAATTTTAGCTTACTTGTATAAAAGCCTATATACAAAAGTAAAAGAAAAAAAATGATGGCATTGTCTGGTAAGTTCCTCCAGACATAGTACGTATAAGAAGCAATAAACAGACCAGGCATTTTAGTGGGATTTTAGCAAAGACGCAATATTTATGAAAGATTTTTATTGTTCCCCATTCAAATAGAGATGCATTCTGTGCATTATGTACCTAAAAAACATAAGTTACCAAGATGGCTGTCAGGTGGGTGAACAGACTTGAGGTAAAAGGACTTTGGTTCAGTGTGCAACTCCAGCTGTACTTGCAACGCTGTTACTTCTACTGCACAATGTTTCTTACCAACCCAGACACAAAAAAAAAAAACGTGCCAGTGGTAACATTTCTGCAAAATAATACTAGTACATTTCTAACCACTTTCAAAGTGAAATGTCCAATGTGTGGCGATCAAAGCGTGCTTATTTTTAACCAAAATAGATAAACGTGAATCTGACAACACTTTCTCACGTTGCTTATTTTACGTATCGCAGCAGTTTGGAACTGAAATGTTTGGTGAGCAGCTCAAAAAGATTAATGCTCTGTCACTTTTGAAAATAACATAGCACCTACACTAAACCAACCCAATAGTGTTAACAAAAGTGAACGTGAGATAAAAACACTTTTGCTGAAGCAACCATGCCATTTTAGCTTGCTTTTACAAATCTTTGAGCTCTTTTATTGTGACTCATCTGGAGTTGGTATGTGATGCAAACATGAAAACGTATTAGTTTACAAATCACTTTGGCAAATGTGCATTGATGTCACAACATAACGTGTGAAAATAAGTCTTTATTAATCGATATTGCAACATCGCAACCTGTTAAAATGGTTACAGAAATTAAAAATGCAAATGTGCCGCTCACATGCTGCAAAACTTAACTGTCATGCAATAAGACACTTTTAAGTTGGGAATGTTGTTTATCATATTCTAATCTTATTGCAGGCCTGTGAAACCAACACACAGAGCCTCAGAAAAATGTTTGTATATGCATTTCATGATCATATTCCTCGAAAACGAATTGCTGTTGAAAACATCCAATGGCTGGATAAATGGCAGGCTTCATCAGAGCCTGATAAGAAGAAGCAAAGAGACAAACAGAAGTCGCTCATCGCTTTGAGGAAAATACTCATATGGCCACTATAATAAGATTAGATTTGAAGTGCACTGTCACTTTCTGTAGCTGCTAATATGTTCACTGGATTAAGGGTGGAATGGCAAAGACAGAGCTAAAAAATAACAACAAGCCTATACAAGCTAGTGCTGTTTAATTAAGGACTGGCTTGTTTTAATATCCCAAATTGCCCTTTCAGTCTGGTGAAGCATTTAAACCATGACTGACCCATAACCTTCAACAGTTTCAGAGTAGCCTATAGCCAAAAATAACAAAAGTCCCTTCAAGGAAACGGTTCATTAATTGGCCATCTTTGTAACACCCTCATACTTCTACTTACGAGTTCATGTCATACACAAAATAAAGAAGTAGCTAAACCAAAACATACATCAAAATATATGGTATAGTATCTAACAAAAAATGAATTGCATAAAGCAAAACACAAAAGGTGAGTTATGACACTGAAAAAACTACAGAAACAGTTTATACTAGGCCTGGGCGTTAAAACGGTATCGATATTTATCGACGGTACACCTTCTTCGATATCGATAGAAAAAAATGTTCGATATAGTGCACGATATAGGCACGTGCTATGAGTGACGCAGACAGCACACACAAACACGAACACATGCTGAAATGACTTGCTGTGCCTGCCTGTGATGAGGAGATTGTGAATAAAAAATGAATATTATTCGAATTTAAAATAAACATTTGCATTTGAATGTTAGGTGTGCATCAGGGAGCGTCATCAGTGGCGCGCGAGATGCGGTGATGATGTAAGTGACGTTGTTGCAACACTGCGTCTCATATGTTTTTAAATGCAGTCTGTGTGAATGGCATTTCGGCTCTTTAGATTAAGCAATTCATAAATACATGATGCTGTTTTATTCATAATTGTTTATGCAATTTACGAAATTATATTTGATTTACAAATATTAGTTTAGACGGTATGCACTTTTTTATAGACAGTCGTTATTTCATTGCATTGAAAAAACAATTTTAATGA